GTTCTCTTTCACAGTACCCACTGCAAGATTACTATGGGTCCCATGCTTCTCCCTCCACCTCTTGAGCGAATCGTTCTTCGCCTGTGAGTTCACCTGTAAATAAACCTTCTTAATGCCATTTTGCACCTCGCCTGCATCTAGTCGGACCTGGAACTTGGTGTCATTATCCTTCGCTTGCGCCGGTGCAATACGCTTTCCTGGTGTTTGCTTCTGGAACAACTTTTTATAAAGTCCCCTCTTAAAAAGAGCTTCCTCAAACTGCTTGAGAACCTTAGACATAGCTTTTGTAAATTAAGGCTTATTGAAATTCAAGAAAAATGTATGTTTATCAACATTGATGTAAGCAGGAATTTGATAACTAGTCAATGAAAAGAATTGCAACATTCAGAACACCGACATAGAATCAACTTGTATTTATATTTTCCATAGTGAGTTTGCTATCAGTGTCTTTATGCACTAGTGGCTAACTGAAGTGATGCAAGACTCTCAAGTAGGCAATTGTGATCTGATTTTATAGATATTGTTGGTTATTATGATGCAAGAAGACAGTATTGATGATCACAGTGTTTTACCTGAGCAACTACTTGTTCTGGTGCTAAATTGAATGATATTCACTGGGTGTCACCTTGAACAATGAGCTGTGCTTATTGTGAGCTGTTTTCCATTTTGTGTGATTGATTGAATCTTGAAGATTCTCTCAACTCATGCTTTACATACAGTATCCTCATACATCTGATGTCTTTCATTACCAACAAGTTTGATCCTGACAACAATAGTTGTCTGAGATAGTGTGTGATGTGTCATATAACAAATAGCAATTGCCTTCAATACTAGTAGGCAATATTAAGTTTTGAGCATGCTTGAGTCTTATATGCTACATCACTAAATAGAAACAGATGATGGGACTGCAAAAGCAAACAGAGAATGTCAACAAGAGTAGATAATTGTGATACTAGAGACACACTGCCAAACCCACTGTGTTAAACAAGAAATGAGGCAACAAGACTTGATATCACAGGTGCTAAGGTAGGGAAGTTCAGATTTTTCTCCCATTTGACCTAGACTAGTGAACAGGTCGGCCCCAAAAATCCTCTGATGTGTTTTCCTGCTTCAGTCCGTCCTCCCAAGGGATATGTTATATTATGGGATGTAGGCTATGCATAATGTTCCCGCCCCATACCGTAGTTCGGCGCATACATCGTATGCGGTACAGCATATAGGGGAAATTCCATCCTTGGCTTTCAGTGGTGGGAAATCTGGTAGGGAACTCTTCTGCTAGACAATGCAGTCACCTTGAGTTGCTCGTCGACCCTCTGGGTTTCGTGGGGTGTTTGAAGGAGCAGGACGAAACCCAGCCTCTTCCGTTCTGCCATTAGACGGTCAACGCGGTCGGACAACGTCCAGTAATAAGACAGAATATGGCCATCTTCCTCACTAAGTCCTGGAGTTGCCTCCCACACGGCTGGCTTCCGGGTTAGAAGAAGACACTTCTGCGCGTAGAGATCTTGTGGCCAATCCTCAAATTCTTGACACTATTTCCCGCGGTTGTAATTTTAATCTTCTTGGTCAGGTCTTTGTCCTAATCATATCAGTTCGTTCACTCTGCGCCCTCTTTCCAGATTTTGCTCGAATTTCAGTCCGCCACGATTGTAGATGATGCCGTAGCATAAAGCCGCGAAAAGCCGCCACAATGTCTTCTCGAGGCTTTAATTTCAGAATGTTCGATATCCTCCGAACACTACTGGTTAAGCCTATGTATGGCCGGAAGAATATGCCCGGGTTTCCTCCATTACCAGCAAATCGCATCAATGCTCAATTATGTAACCACTATCTATCACCAATGTTCGGCCCCGCTAATTCCGTCTCGATTAAAGGGTGGTTGTTATACCATTTGTCCGAATGAGAGCCTCCGCACGCATATTGCGGCAGCTGATTGTTTCGTCGCATCCTGCACTGCGGCCCAACTATCCAAGTTATATATCCACAACAGCCATTCCCCTCAGCCGACGACTCCTTAAATAAATCTGTCCTGTTGGTTGGTTCCGTATCATGACCGGTGAATGAAGAAGAACTGGTAGAGTATTGTTCGAGGATATATTTTAACATCATCGAAGGCTCTGAGGATTGAGGATCGAACTGTTCAGGTATGAATTCTAGTTCATGCTCCTGCCTGGGAGGTGGCTCAAGCGCGAATACCTCGTCAGCAGTCGTGAATTGACAGGAAAGGCTGCTTTCTAGGCAAATTATAGGAGAGACAGGGTTCAGATGCAGACGACAGAAATCTATATCTTCTGCATGGGATGTCAGATACTATCAGAGTGCATGCCACATCAGTCAGAGCATGAGCAACTGGAAGGTGGGGGACTGATTGTTTGATTCTCCTCTTTGGGCCGGATGACGATTTCAGATTTTGTCATTTTGTACCACCAAGATAATCATGCCCTAAGCTACTTAGCATTCTAGCCAAAATATCAATAATAATGGTTCAGGAGAAAGACATATCATACACACCTTAAGAAGTAAAGTCCTCGGCCATAGTGATGTCGTACCGTCGAGTCAATGCAGTCCCCCAGATGGATACATGTACATCTTGGACAGTGGTAACTTGGATACCTTATAAATTTGGTATGGAATATCCCTCCCCAGCCTTCTTTGCCAGATCTTTTCGAGACCCCTTCGAGCCGCTTTGATTTGTTAGGGTTTAAACCGGCTCTTCCAGCACCCTAGGCCCTTTCTTTGTCAAAGGGTTTTTTCAGCATCCTATGGAGTTTGTATATGCCAATAAGATTGCAGCGGAAGAATAATTGGACGAAGGCTAGATCTTTTGATCGATCGTAGAAAGATCACAGACTAGTGGAGTTGGAGAAGTCCAAGGAAGCAGTAAAGGAACAGGTAAGGAGAGGTAATGGGGAAAATCAGAGGGCGATATGTTGGTAATATAAAACCAGTCCCTTTAATTCTTCATCGTGTCAACTTGATCGAAATGAAAATGATACAAGCGGGCGAGGGGGATAAAGGGCAGATTGGCGAGTTTCCTCCGATTTCAGGGGCTTCTGTTAGTTTCATGGCTACAATGATTACCCAGTCTAACCCACCGCTTTCCGGTAATAATGATAATAAGGATACTTATAGTAATCGAAATTGAAGATACTTACTGTATCCATTGCGCTACAGAATATTGGTGAAACCATGAATGTGAAGATAGCTTATTGTGGCGGACGTAAAGCTTGCGAAAACAGAATTTTCTGCCACCCCCTGAAAAGTAGTAGCAAAACACCGCAAAAATAACCAAAATATCCACGTATCTCTAGAATCATTCAAATATCATCCAATTCATTCAAATACGCACCTTTATCATCAAATACGCACCTTTATCATCAAATCTGCCAATATGCCCCGCAACACCCACCGTTCTACTGCCTTGCAAGCTCATAAAAGGACTCCAACTACCCTGCGCCTTCATCTGCCCAAACCACCTGTTCCGGATGTTCCAGATAATGACAAGAATCCAACTGATGATGAGAAGGAGGAGGAGGAGGAGGAGGAGGAGGAGACACAGTCAGAAGATCCTCAATTTCTGCAAACACCTACCCCTGAGCCCAAGATCTCATTCAGGCTGTATGAACGGGTGATTATCAATGGGATAAAGGAGCCTATAAAGATCAAGTTATGGAATGTCACAACAAATGATATGACTGTCAGCTTCTATCATATTCAATATACTGCAAAAAGAATAGCTGAAGAGTATGTTATGAAGCAGAACTGCAAGGAGATAGAAGTTGCAAATTGTATAGCAGTCATCTCATCAAACAAACATGGATCTTCAATTAAAATCACCCTTGAGAAGGAGACAGATTGGAGAGAGATTATCACTCTTTTGAAGGAGTTATATAAGGAGAAGATGAGCAGATTTAGCATTGAGATTACCACCTCTTTTAATCTTCTTGATATCTCAACTCTATCCTCAAACACCTCTGTAATACACAGTTCTGCAGCTTTCATTGGAGTGTCGGATTCACAATTAACAACCCAGACATTGGCATCAAAAAGAGCATTAGATGTCAAAGAAGAAGTAATCTCACCACCTGCCAAATCCCCTCTCTATCATCCTGCCAAATCCCCTCAAATTCATGAAATATCCGATGATGAAAAGCTGCCGCCTATGTGTACAAGATCCACGGCCACTAGCCAGCAGCTGAAGGAGGCTCAAAATCAACAGTCAAATGAGTGTGATTCTTTGCAGATTGGGTGTGAGATAACTGCTCACTGGCATTGTCAAAAGATGAATTGTCATAACTTTGAGCAGGGCACTTGTTGAATGGCTTTTGATGATACTCATATTCAACTTCTGAGTAGTGAGATTGCCAGTTGAATAGATGATGTTGAATGTGGACATGCAACAGTTAAAAATCCATCAAGAAAGATGACAAAAAGATTAATGGATAGAAAGAAGAAGAAGGAACAAAAAAGTGAATCTATCTCTGCTTCTAACCCTTCTATACAGACACCTCAGATGCCAGCAGTTATCTTCCCTCCCTCAACTCCTTCTTCATCTAATATTGTGTCTCCAAGTGAGATAATCAATGTGATGGTGATGAAATATATGATGGAAGGAATGGGAGGCATGGAAGGACTGAATTCAAACTTGCCATCAAATTCAAACCTGCCATCAAATTCAAACCTGCCATCAAATTCAAATCTGCTATCAAATCCAAATCTGCTGTTGAATCCAAACCTGCCGTCAAATCCAAATCTGCCGTCGAATCCAAACCTGCCTTCTATTCAAAGTAGTTCAATCTCTCAGTTTGGTGAACATGCGGATCTGTTTATTGATGAGTTCTTCAACTGGTTGATGACAGAGAGACCTCAAAGAGCAGAAGCTCTTTTAACTGCAAAGAGCATTATTCAGAATGAAGGATTTGAACTGGATCATATACAGACAATGACAAATGAGCAGGTGATTCAGTTGAATATTGGAATGGGTATATTCTCGATAATAAGAGATGGGTTAAAGAGTTCTATCTGGCAGTCACAGTTGAAGGAGATTAAATTGTCTTTATCTGCTGTTTGTAGTGATGACAGCAGATCTCATACTGCTTCTGCTTCTGAATTTGAAACTTAGATATTATATATCATCATAATTGAATTGCAATCTGAATCTTTCTAGATTTTACAATACTATTCTATATGAGCAGATCTGAAATATCCTCTTGCATCTTCTTCTCCCATGAAGTTCTCAACTGCATGATGCAAGAAGGCTTCAAAATCTCCATCAAACTGATTCTCTAACTGACATCTGTATCTTCTAATCCATTCTTTCAATGTGTGAAATGACTCCTCTATAGGATTATAATCAGGAGAATATGGGGGTAAGAATAAAAGTCCAATGCCAGCTTCTCTGCAGAGATCTCACAGTGCTTGTGAACAATGAGAAGAGCAATTATCCATCACTAGGTAGTGATAACCTCATTGGCATTTGAGCAGTATTTGGACATGTACAAACTCATTGAACCTCTCTGTATTATAGAACCCCTGATATATATTATAATCAAGATATCCATTGACACTTATCACAGGTAAGATTGACCATCTGCAAGATCATTTACAGAGCCTTCTAATGCAACAAGGGAATCCTCTGCTTGACCATCCATATCATCAATCTGCAGTACATTCATTCACAGCACTCTCATCTAAAAATATAAGTTGATCAGATTGATACTGAGTAACTTGAATACACCATTCAGCTCAAAGTTCTTTGTTGTGTTGAGTGGCCACAGGTTCAACCTATATCAAATAGAACTGACAGATTAGCAGGTTCTATAAGTGACAATTGCAATAATTAATCACCTTTTTCCATGTCAAATTCAGTTTCTTCAACAATCTAGATATCAATCAAGGGTGGATATCAACATCAAATTCATCCTTCACAAAGCAGACAGCCTCATCACAATATGCAGTTGGATATGCCTCAAAAAAATCCTCCAAATCTGACAAGATATCCGGTGTGATCTTTGGCTTTACACCCCATGTTGAACAAAGACTTCTAGCAGTTCCAAAGCAGCGAATATTTCATTGGATTCAATATACAGTGGCCAGATAGCACTCAATGGTCCGCGCAATCTGAGCAGGCATATAACCATCGTTTAGAAGGTGTATGATCTCATTGGTGGTAAATTCGCTGAGCTGAGGGGGCATATTGGCAGATTTGATGATAAAGGTGCGTATTTGATGATAAAGGTGCGTATTTGAATGAATTGGATGATATTTGAATGATTCTAGAGATACGTGGATATTTTGGTTATTTTTGCGGTGTTTTGCTACTACTTTTCAGGGGGTGGCAGAAAATTCTGTTTTCGCAAGCTTTACGTCCGCCACAATAAGCTATCTTCACATTCATGGTTTCACCAATATTCTGTAGCGCAATGGATACAGTAAGTATCTTCAATTTCGATTACTATAAGTATCCTTATTATCATTATTACCGGAAAGCGGTGGGTTAGACTGGGTAATCATTGTAGCCATGAAACTAACAGAAGCCCCTGAAATCGGAGGAAACTCGCCAATCTGCCCTTTATCCCCCTCGCCCGCTTGTATCATTTTCATTTCGATCAAGTTGACACGATGAAGAATTAAAGGGACTGGTTTTATATTACCAACATATCGCCCTCTGATTTTCCCCATTACCTCTCCTTACCTGTTCCTTTACTGCTTCCTTGGACTTCTCCAACTCCACTAGTCTGTGATCTTTCTACGATCGATCAAAAGATCTAGCCTTCGTCCAATTATTCTTCCGCTGCAATCTTATTGGCATATACAAACTCCATAGGATGCTGAAAAAACCCTTTGACAAAGAAAGGGCCTAGGGTGCTGGAAGAGCCGGTTTAAACCCTAACAAATCAAAGCGGCTCGAAGGGGTCTCGAAAAGATCTGGCAAAGAAGGCTGGGGAGGGATATTCCATACCAAATTTATAAGGTATCCAAGTTACCACTGTCCAAGATGTACATGTATCCATCTGGGGGACTGCATTGACTCGACGGTACGACATCACTATGGCCGAGGACTTTACTTCTTAAGGTGTGTATGATATGTCTTTCTCCTGAACCATTATTATTGATATTTTGGCTAGAATGCTAAGTAGCTTAGGGCATGATTATCTTGGTGGTACAAAATGACAAAATCTGAAATCGTCATCCGGCCCAAAGAGGAGAATCAAACAATCAGTCCCCCACCTTCCAGTTGCTCATGCTCTGACTGATGTGGCATGCACTCTGATAGTATCTGACATCCCATGCAGAAGATATAGATTTCTGTCGTCTGCATCTGAACCCTGTCTCTCCTATAATTTGCCTAGAAAGCAGCCTTTCCTGTCAATTCACGACTGCTGACGAGGTATTCGCGCTTGAGCCACCTCCCAGGCAGGAGCATGAACTAGAATTCATACCTGAACAGTTCGATCCTCAATCCTCAGAGCCTTCGATGATGTTAAAATATATCCTCGAACAATACTCTACCAGTTCTTCTTCATTCACCGGTCATGATACGGAACCAACCAACAGGACAGATTTATTTAAGGAGTCGTCGGCTGAGGGGAATGGCTGTTGTGGATATATAACTTGGATAGTTGGGCCGCAGTGCAGGATGCGACGAAACAATCAGCTGCCGCAATATGCGTGCGGAGGCTCTCATTCGGACAAATGGTATAACAACCACCCTTTAATCGAGACGGAATTAGCGGGGCCGAACATTGGTGATAGATAGTGGTTACATAATTGAGCATTGATGCGATTTGCTGGTAATGGAGGAAACCCGGGCATATTCTTCCGGCCATACATAGGCTTAACCAGTAGTGTTCGGAGGATATCGAACATTCTGAAATTAAAGCCTCGAGAAGACATTGTGGCGGCTTTTCGCGGCTTTATGCTACGGCATCATCTACAATCGTGGCGGACTGAAATTCGAGCAAAATCTGGAAAGAGGGCGCAGAGTGAACGAACTGATATGATTAGGACAAAGACCTGACCAAGAAGATTAAAATTACAACCGCGGGAAATAGTGTCAAGAATTTGAGGATTGGCCACAAGATCTCTACGCGCAGAAGTGTCTTCTTCTAACCCGGAAGCCAGCCGTGTGGGAGGCAACTCCAGGACTTAGTGAGGAAGATGGCCATATTCTGTCTTATTACTGGACGTTGTCCGACCGCGTTGACCGTCTAATGGCAGAACGGAAGAGGCTGGGTTTCGTCCTGCTCCTTCAAACACCCCACGAAACCCAGAGGGTCGACGAGCAACTCAAGGTGACTGCATTGTCTAGCAGAAGAGTTCCCTACCAGATTTCCCACCACTGAAAGCCAAGGATGGAATTTCCCCTATATGCTGTACCGCATACGATGTATGCGCCGAACTACGGTATGGGGCGGGAACATTATGCATAGCCTACATCCCATAATATAACATATCCCTTGGGAGGACGGACTGAAGCAGGAAAACACATCAGAGGATTTTTGGGGCCGACCTGTTCACTAGTCTAGGTCAAATGGGAGAAAAATCTGAACTTCCCTACCTTAGCACCTGTGATATCAAGTCTTGTTGCCTCATTTCTTGTTTAACACAGTGGGTTTGGCAGTGTGTCTCTAGTATCACAATTATCTACTCTTGTTGACATTCTCTGTTTGCTTTTGCAGTCCCATCATCTGTTTCTATTTAGTGATGTAGCATATAAGACTCAAGCATGCTCAAAACTTAATATTGCCTACTAGTATTGAAGGCAATTGCTATTTGTTATATGACACATCACACACTATCTCAGACAACTATTGTTGTCAGGATCAAACTTGTTGGTAATGAAAGACATCAGATGTATGAGGATACTGTATGTAAAGCATGAGTTGAGAGAATCTTCAAGATTCAATCAATCACACAAAATGGAAAACAGCTCACAATAAGCACAGCTCATTGTTCAAGGTGACACCCAGTGAATATCATTCAATTTAGCACCAGAACAAGTAGTTGCTCAGGTAAAACACTGTGATCATCAATACTGTCTTCTTGCATCATAATAACCAACAATATCTATAAAATCAGATCACAATTGCCTACTTGAGAGTCTTGCATCACTTCAGTTAGCCACTAGTGCATAAAGACACTGATAGCAAACTCACTATGGAAAATATAAATACAAGTTGATTCTATGTCGGTGTTCTGAATGTTGCAATTCTTTTCATTGACTAGTTATCAAATTCCTGCTTACATCAATGTTGATAAACATACATTTTTCTTGAATTTCAATAAGCCTTAATTTACAAAAGCTATGTCTAAGGTTCTCAAGCAGTTTGAGGAAGCTCTTTTTAAGAGGGGACTTTATAAAAAGTTGTTCCAGAAGCAAACACCAGGAAAGCGTATTGCACCGGCGCAAGCGAAGGATAATGACACCAAGTTCCAGGTCCGACTAGATGCAGGCGAGGTGCAAAATGGCATTAAGAAGGTTTATTTACAGGTGAACTCACAGGCGAAGAACGATTCGCTCAAGAGGTGG